TGTGCCTACCAACTGGCAACAGAAGCATCCAAGAAAGCACAAGCAACTCAGAAGGAAGCATACGATCTTCGAGTCAGAGGAGCTTCTATACAGAAGGGTGACCGTGTGTTGGTGAAGATCGTATATTTCGATGGCAGACACAAGTTGGCTGATAAATGGGAATATATGCCATACGTTGTATTGGATCAGCCAAATCAAGACATCCCTGTATTTACCGTCATCCGGGAAGATGGAGAGGGAAAAATAAAGAAACTCCATAGAAATCTACTTCTTCCAGTTGGCTACATCAGAGACCAGGAACCAATAGAGTTATAAACTACAAAACAGAGACCAACTCCACGCCCACGTGCTAGTAAGCAACAGAAAATACCAGTGGTTCAGGCAACCAAGGAGGATTCAGCTGATGACACAGCATCAACTATTTCAGAGGACTCCGAGGTTGGATTTGTGTTGACAGTGGACAGCGAATCATCTCTTGCTGAAGACTCCAATGCCAACATAGATATAATTGATGAGGTTACCAGTCTTTCTGGGGACGCCCAGATTGAAGAGACTGAACCTACTGGAAGCGCTTCCGAGGATGCTGAAAGTATTTCATCAGAAGATTCTACGATTGATGATGATGTACCTCAGGATACTGACGAATTACCACTGGACAGTTCGAGACAAGTATGGCTGCTGCTGGACGAACTAGTATTCCAGAGTGGCGACAGAAAGCTGATTACATCTCGTCTTTGGCCCAGACGCCATTATTTAAAGCAACTGGATTAGAGAGAGATGCAGCAAGGACCATATTAGACATTGTCAACCACCACTAGCTGGAAATGACGGGACGTCATTTTACAGCTGGGGGGAGTGTGTGGTAAAGTGGTATTTTAGGATATTTGTATTTTATATTTAAGTTTGATTATTTCTATATTTTTAATATAACTTTTCTTATTTCAGAAGATATTATAATTAATACTGTAATATTATATTATTGCATGGTTAAATTATACGGAGTGTAAATTTCAGATTCGCTCAGGTGTGACTTTTATTAGGTGTTTCAATTGGGTTTTATTTGTATTGATTAGTTGTCAATTCTTTGGCGGGAAGTTTTACATTTTCTATATGGTCACTTTGTGTGATGGACACCATTTTCTGTGTTCAGTAAATTCCGATTATATTCTGTTTGGAGTTTGGTTTTCATATTTCTTAGGTCAGTTATTCTTCTTATACTAATATATATTAATTATCTATACTTATAATTATATGTATGCATGATTTATGAATGTTATGAAGAAATGCATGTTTGAATGATGTGTAGATGTGATATGTAAGTGGAATTATAGAAAACTTAAAAGAACTTTAAATCTCTTTAATAATTGTGCTTTTATGGTTAAATACGGTAAATTATATAAAACAGCTAAATTTCAGTAAATGGGATTAAACTATTGAATCTTATAGAATGAATGTTTTATAATAATTTCAGATATTAGATAAAGTCATAAATTGATAAAGATATTAACTATCTCATTTTGATATGCAGAATAGGTTAGTTATTAATTTAATATTTGTACTGCAGGTATCTACCATATTGATGATGCACCATATTGGCATCAACCTGATGTGATTTGAATATTGTATTTCAAGCCTTCACAAATACCTGTGAGGTAGGTTATGTTATGTTGAATCTATGTGCGTTATGCTTATTGTATTGTCTGCTTTAGAAAGTGCTTTATGCTTTGTTTGCACGTATGTTCTTGCTTTGCATGTATATGTTATTTTTAAATATGCTTATTTAAATTTGGTATTTAACAGTTCATTGCATTACTGTTATAATGTGTTACTAATGCACCGACATATGCATTATGATTAGATTTGATATTTAGATGTGTTTATGAGACAATAGAATTGGAGATCACTATTTCCGACTTAAAGAAATTATATAGTATTCTTTTATTATTGAAATGCTTGGAAAAGTAAACAGTTTCCTTGTTCATAATTGTTAACATAATGTTTTAAAGCTTTTATATAGTTACTTAATTATATTACATCCATTAATATAATGTATTGTTATTACAGGGTATTTATTTTTGGATTATGATATAAACTACGAAATAAAGAATCCGTAACCCTTAGATTGTTTCTTGTGTGTTTACTGCCCCGAAACAAGACTACACTAATAGAACACTAAAAGAATGTCAGAGGTTCATAAAGGGAAAATAATGACGTGTATCCGTCAACAATACGTTTTTAATTTAAAATCACTCGATTTACACATCAAATACTTAATAAATGTCTTAAAGTGTTATAATAAATCCTTGCATACACGATAAAAATTATTTTCACAGCAAATTACAAAATCCTTCACGTATGCGAAAGATATCAGGTAGGGTTTTTCAATAATTTTGTTGTCAAGAAAAGTCATAATACATAAAAATTCACCAACATACAAACAGTATACATGAAATCTAAAAACTTTATTGAAAAAATATTCTTAACGAAAAAAAATATATGTCAAGATAAAAAAAAATGCATTTAAAAGAAACACTAAACATATACTGAATATATATTCTGCATGGTGAATAAATAACAAATACCTTGTACTGGAAAAAAAACATTAAGGCAGGAGTAATCCGTAATATATGTGTAATTCAGGTTTCAGACAGGGTATGTAATGTGACATTCCCGGCTTAGGGAATATAAACTCTAGACGGGAATGTCACATTATATATCCTGTCTGAGACCTGAATAACATATAATATAAAAGTTTGGTAAATCATTGGATATTAAATTGATGTTATCATTTTTGCTTGATAGGTAAGGCAGTATTTGATATATGTTTTACAAAAAATATATGCTGATTTTTATTGCAGCAACTGTAGGAAGTCTTCCGAGAGTCTGATTGCTAATTATGCATTACAGGATTTTATCATTAAAGCAACATCTTAGGAGGATAAGTTCAAATGTATGAAGGAATCCTTGGGTACAAATAGCAATTATATGCAGGAGAGGACTCTTAAACATTACTAACAGACATGTAGTCATGGTTGTGGTGTTTTCAAGAAATATAAAACCCCTGGAATTAACTATTGTGTATATTTTTTCAACCACAAGTACTTTCAGAATATAATACAATTCAAATTCAAATTATTGTGTCAATATAAAAGTTACAGTCTGAAAAAGGAAAATGCATGATTTAAAATGAATTTTATATAAAAATTTGAAATAACAAGAATTTTATGCTTATTGTGCAGCCAAACTTTGAGATCTTTTAATGGTATATGCCTGTTGTTTGTCAACATTTTTTTTTTCATTTTGCCTTAACCTTAAGATCAGTGTTTAAATGAAAAACTGAAATACATATATAAAATAAGAAGGAAATGGTTGTAAATTACAGCAAGACTTTCAATATGGTATATCAGATATATTTCACAGAACTTTCTATTTCAGTTTATTAATACAATGAGATATGAGGTATAAATCAATCAGACAGCAACACAACAACAAAAACACCCAAAAGGCATTAAGGTGCTAACATGCAGTCCTCAACAATAGACAGGTGTCTAAACAATATGTCATGATCTATTTAATTGACCAGAGTCTATAAAAGATTTGAATAAATTAAACAATATCAATCAAAGAGCTGTCATCAACATCAAATTCTCCAAATATTTAAAAAAAACATTAAGATGAGACTTAAGACAACCACTGAAAAGGTTCCAGGCTTGAAATGGGTACATGAATATGTGGCAGTGTGAACTAGTTTTTTTCTTCAAAATTTTCATAAAAAGAATTGGCATCTTTTGCAAGTAAGACTTTTTCCATAATGTGATTGGTTTGTGTCAAAACTGATGAACACAAAATGACTTATACATACATATAAAAATCAACTCAAATGAATTATACATCAGTGCATACATCTGCTATAAATGAATCACCAATCCATAAATCATTTACCAAAAAAAGGATTTAGACTCGAACACAACCAAAAAAGTTCTAGAAGTGAACTAAGGTGCCCTGGATATAATTTATGCATGAAATTCTAAACCTGTGACACATTTGCTTGCCTTCTTGGTTTTATTGCATCTTATCTGTTGCATTGGAGATATTGTTGGTTGGAGTTGATAGATAAATACCATTTGTATTACTAAGGACCAAAAAATTTTGGATACAAAGAAAGTTAAATAGAATGGAAGTATGAACACAAGGTCAACACCAAGAAGAATATAAATTTATATATATCAAAACAGAATGTGTAATAGATTTGCATTAACAATTCACCTTAATTTCATTTTTAAAAAATTTCACGTGAAAGCTCGATTTACGTTAATTTCACGTGAAAAATTTCACGTTAATTTCGCGTGAATCAGTATTTCACTTGAAAATCACGTGAATTTAACGTGAAATTCGCGTGAAATATTTCACGTGAATTTGACGTATAAGCTCGATTAACGTGAAATTCACGTGAATTTTTTAACGTGTAATTCACGTTAATTTCACGTGAAATTCACGTGAACAAAATTTGCCTGTGTATATCCAATGAAATTTTTTCTGATAAAGTGTGTGGTTCAAGTTTTTTGAAATTTTCATATTTTTGGCAAAGGGTCAGAGTAAATATTTAGTCAAAACTTTATGAAAATTAAACGAGCCAAATTAATTTTAGTCAAGGTGTTTGGTACCACCTTAAGTAGAAATAGTAAATAATAAAAACGCTCGGCCACACAATAATGTAATCTACAGGAAAACTTTATAAGATCTTGGCTTGGTTAATGATAGAAAATGCCAATAAACGTTAGATATTCCACTGGCACAATTTAACATCAATTTAAAACCTAATTTTATCTTGCTTTCAGAACATCATTAAAAAAACTTTTATTTTTGAATTCAGGAGCTTTGTTATGATTGCCGGTGAGAAAACTATACATCAGAGTCCGAATGACGTGGATGTAAGCAGCTTTTTTTCTGTATCATTAATTAGAATAATCATTGAGAAATCTTAAATATAAAGAACTTACATTCATAGTGTAATATTTTGCTTTCCAGATGCATCTGCAATAATTTTTCCCATGAAGTATAAAATGTTTCGTGGAACTTTGAAGTACAAAACTTTTAAACAATACAAATGAGACCCTGATTGTTCAACTAGAATTGAACTTTTGTATTTAGTTATACGTGTATCGGTGAATTGGATTGTTTTAAAAATTATTCTACCTTTCAGCGCACACTTTACAATAATCTTTGATCTGTTAGAGAATGATATCTGAAAATCTGTAATTAAATATTTAAAATATCTGAATGAAGAGTATTGCATTATCTATACATTCATTAAGTCAAACTGTGACACCAGTTAAAATCAACTGGAATGTGATTTTGATTTGAAAGATATATCATACAACAAAATGATAAAAAATATAAATTAATTTGTTTTAAAAACAATTGTTAAACGGTCTTTCCCCTCCGAAACATGATTAATTGGTTGGTTGGTTGGTTGGTTGGTTGATCGATTGATTGATTGATTGATTGATTGATTGATTGATTGATTGGTTGAAAGTTTGCATGACACTCTCTCTATGCGAGGCATCGGACTTGACGTTCATATTCTGACCGGGCTGCGTACTTGTACATCCCGCACTCCCAAACGGACAGCCTCAGGATTTCCTAATAAATAAAAATCCTAACATCTTCTTTTTTTCTAATTTTCTCTATTTGCTACGAGAACTGGTACTTCATGGTTTATTTTATGTGTTGTGTGTACATTTTGTTTCAACTTGTAGGAAAAAAAAATGAGTAATATTTTGTCTTGGAAGTTTCACTTTCCATATTTGGATATGGATCTCGAATGTTTTATTCTAATTTTAGGTCCGCGCGCATGATGATGTTTTGAAGTCACGTGACGCTCGAATATTTATGTCTGGAGTTTTAGAATATTAATTTCTTTTCAGGGGAGACCGTTGAACAGAGCACATGTGTACTGATCGGACAAACATGATCACTATTGGTTTTATTATTTACAGGTCATTGATGACGGATCATGCATGCATCTTACGTACACATGTTTACTTGAGCACAGATTTGTATTTTAATGCATGATTAAAAAATTTGATTGTAGGATTTCAGCAATATTTACGATTTTTCTACGTCATTGAATTTTATTTCTCAATCAATTGGAGCCGATTTTTGCAGGAATGAATTTCTATTTAAGAAGTTTGTACATCAGAAGAATTGCATTTTTACAGTAAAATGTACAGGACTGAACTTCAAAGCGAAATGGGATTCCTCAAAGTAGAAGAAAAAAAAAAGAAAAAAAGGGGGGGGGGGGGGGAGGTGGAGGATGATGGACCTTGGTTTATAAATTAAGATAAGATGCACGTGTACATCATGATAGCTGCAAAGTTTGAGGCTATAATTAGTTCATTTTGTTCATTTTACTATTTCAGTGGCATGGAACCCCTAAAACAATGACGCGTACCATTTTGACAAAAACTTTCCAGTTATATCATGTCGCGACTAACATTTTAGTCAAATTTATACGGCTTACGGTTTACGTGTTACAAAAACATAACGACAAATTAATTTGGTAAAGGTAGATAACTCACTGGATCGCTTCGATCCAAATTAGGCAAAAATTCCTGAGGATGTAACAAACAATTTAGAAAAAGAATTTTGTCGATATCTTTTTTTGTTACGAAGGAGATGCACACAGATGATAAACAGTGAATAGGGAGATAACTCTTGCAAAGAAAATGGTTCGGCTTAGCAGGGTGAATATTAAAAGCGCATAAACTATACGATACAATATGAGAAATATCTAAGCGACATATTGCGAAACAAACATTTATCGCAAGAACAAAATTTGGCGGAAGAAAAAAAAAAAAAAAAAAAAATAATAATAATAATAATCAGAACAAATGCAATAGGTCTTTCCACAGAAAAGTGGAAAGACCTAATTACCCTATCGTTTTACCATTTACTGTTCTATATATTTATCTTCTAAGGAAGTGCTCTCAAAATACGTTAAATCCGTGTAAGTTCAATTTATTGAATACTGAAACAAGCTATCTTGATATCAATGTCCATAGGCTGTTTGGTTTAATTTGTGGTTCGTGCCAGTCTGATGAGTCAAGTCATTTCCAACTGATATTACAGTTTGATTATTTTCTGGATTGGGCAGTTTAACTGATTCCCGTAAAAAAAATTCCGATCTATTTTAATTTCATTTATACTGCTAAATTGAAAAAAAATCCTAAAAAAAATGCATTGTATTTTATAATTTTTTTCATTCAAAATTGTCCTTAGTGAAAAATAATAAAGATTTCGCTTGCTCTCACTGAAGCTTAAGGCAAAAACTAACTGTAAGAAATCAATACCTAAATGTGCACTAGATTCATAATTTTAAGGTTTTTATATGAACCTACTTGAAAAAATAACGGCTCCGAGAATAAAATCAACATTAAAATTCTCACTTTAAAGAAGCTACAATAACCGGAAACATGGAAAACAGTGTCAGCAATGGTATATGCTGTTATTCTTTCAATTTTCAACTTTAATGCACCCACCTAACATACGGCTATATTATATCAACACAACAATTTGTTTTTATCCTGTTTTTAACCTGTTTTTAATCATGCGCAACTTGCCAGAATATTCATCATGTTGAATGTGGGCAGTATTTGGAAGAAGAAGAAGAAGAAGATATATATATATCATTCGAAAGCTGATTACCTATTTTTTTATATTTTTGAACTAAAACTTATTACTTACAGTTCAAATAATAGTTGTTAAATTCTAAACTGGAGTCTTTTCCGGCTTACTTGTATTTTGTATATACTGTCTAATTTATTCAAGACCCATGAAAGGGTGCAATAATCGATATAGTATTTTATAGACCAAATACATGTAATAATTGGAATGAAATACTTGATTCTTCCTAACATTTCAAGTTCCTTAGGATATAAATATTCGGAAATAATGAATCCACAAATTAGATGGAATAGTATTTATACGCCCCTCTTTGTAGGGACGTATTTTGGTATACCGTATAAAAATATAAAGAGATGTGGTCTGATTGCCAATGAGATAACTATCCACCAAAGTTCAAATGGAGTGGATGTAAGCAATCATATGCAACCGTTACGGCCTTCAACAATAAGAAAAACTCATACCGTATAGTTGCGTAAAAAAGGCCCCGACATGAAAAATATGAAACAATTCAATTGAGAAAACTAATGGCCTAATTTATAACAAAACAATCTATGAAAAACAAATATGACAGACATGAATTAACGACAACCACTGAAGTACAGGCCCCGGGCTTGGGACAGGCACATAGCGAATGTGGCGGTGATAAACTAGTTTGCTGGCGCCAAACCCTTCCCCTGACCTGGGACAGTAAGGTGTTACAGTACACCGCAGTCCGTCTGTCAACACTAAAGTGACGAAGGATTCAAAGAGAGGGGAAACAAAACTTTCCTTTTTAAAGCAGAGTTGAATGGGATTTCGAACAATTTTACATTTCAATGGACGGTGTTTCTGAAGGCTAATTTTATGCGGCAACAATATGAGATCTGACAAATACTGAAACATAAAATTTAATGTGAATTCTGGTACATTTCGTATTATATGATAATCAAGTACGTATATATTGTTGTTATTATTATTGAAAAACGGAATATGGATTTCAAACGCCCAATTTGCGATATTTGCGAAAATTGCGGGAAACTTATAATATGACGTCAGAATCAGTGTTTTGAAGAAAGACAAATCTTTTCTTAAAAACAAATGAGAAAAAAACATGAAAATTACTTATAACTTTATTGAAAGGTCGGTGCAATATACTTTTTGGGGCGTTAAATTAAAGAGTTACAAAACACTTTTCTTCTTGAATTGTTTTATGACGAAATCACTGGTTATTACCGGAAAAGTTTTTCATTCTTACGTATTTTTTAAATGAAATAAATCATACTTTATGAAAACAATACGAATCGCAGATTTTTTTCATCATCACATTTTGTTCCAAAAATCTTGATAACCCTCACACAACATTTTAAGAAAAAAATCACTGATAGAAATGAATAGGCTTTAATCAGGATATAAAATACAGAGAAATCAAAGTTGATATATTTGTGTTGTTGAAATTCACACACAAAAAAAGGTAAATTATATATGTACTTCAGTGTCTTTCTGTAAATAAACTTAATTGATCATATTGAATAAATAAAAAACGTTGTTTACTTATTAACAGAATAAAATAGTCAGTTTATTTCGCAAACTAATTAACCTAACGTTGTAACGGAACTAGAAAAAACTGTCATACAAGTTTAGCTAATTACAAAACCAGGTTTAATTCACTATTTTCTTCATAAATGCATGTACCAAGTACGAAATATGACAGTTATTTTTCATTCGTTCAATTTATTGATGACGTTTCATTTTTGTTAGTTTTTATGGACTTCCCCTTTTCGAGTTTACCTAGGAGTTTGGTGTTTTTGTTATACTTTCTTCCTAGTTATTCGTTAAACGGTTCGCTTATTTCGGAACTCACAAGGTAAAGATATCAAAATTGAAAGATCGTCAGTTGACAATCCGAAAGAAACTTGTTAACCAAATCAGACACATTATTCTGTCTAAAAACAACAAGATTCTGCTATTTTCCCTCAATAGTTTGACGCACGAACTGATTAGCCTTTAGTATTCAACACATTGAATAGAAGTAGTGTATTAATAGCCAATTGATTTTGTAAAGAGGTATTTGATATTTCAACAAACAGATTGATATATAATTTATAACTGTACTATTTATTACATGTAACTTCTGTATACCATTGTATTGACGAAGGTTTGTCAGAATAAAGATATATATATTAACTTTATTGTTTTTCTTCACTGATGGAAATATATATCTATTTTATCACTTAAAAATCTATCAATATAGTTAACAATAGACTAGCAACGGTTAAATGAATACTGTTTGTGCATGAATATTGTTTATAATTTGGAAACAATACACACTGAACACGACAAATATATATGCTGTATGCACTTATAATTCAATGCTTTACAAAATCAGATGTTAAGTATTGTTTCAAAATTTGACTTTATCATGAATGTGTTATATATCTTGTGTTGCATT